GGGGTGATTGGGGGGGGCGAGATCCGGGCAGCTGGGGGGTAATGGGGGGGGTTCCTGATCCTGGCCCTTCGGGGGGGCGAGATCTGGCCAGCTGGAGGGGGGGTAATGGGGGGGCCCTGATCCGGGCAGCTGGGGGGGAGGGGAAGAGTGATGGGGGGGTGATCCATGGCTGCCTGGCCCGCTCCCCAGCCTGACCCCTGAGCACCGATGGGACTCGTGGCCCCCGCCCCCTGAGTTTGAGAGCAGTGGGTGGCTAACGTCAGCTGGGACCTGCCTGCCGGGGGGGTGATTCACCGCCGCTCTGTTCTCCTTTACGAACTTTGCCATCAGTTACCGGAGGGGAAGAAATTGTTCCGTTGGGTGCACAACTGTCGGCAGTTGCGACACTCCGGGTGAGCCTTTGGTTAAACCAGGCTCCTTTCCTCCCTCAAACCCAGCAGATCTGTCCCAAGTGACATTGCTCTTTACCAAGATTGTCCCCACCACCTCCCAGCTGAAATTGTAACCATAAAGCTGCCAGGAACAGGTATATTTCAGCCTTAAGGCATTCCCTTACAGTACAAAGGAACAGGCCGGCGGAGCATAGGGAGACGTGATCTCAGTTGGGGAGGAGGGCTCTCTGGACACGCCAGCAGTGCAAACCAGAACAACAGAAAACTAAAGCATTAGTTCTGTTTAAAACAAAAATTGTGACTTTGTAAGAATTTTTTCTACTTTTTTAATAATTTTTTTTTAAAAGCTCTGAAAACAGGCCCCATTTCCTGAAGGACTGATCCACCCCCACATACCACTTCCCTTGTAAGAACTTAATATTGGTATCACAGTAGAACCTAGGCGCTCTAGTCACAAATCAGGACCGCATTGCGCTAGGCGCTGTACAAACAGGGATGGTCCCTGCCCTAGAGACTGTGTTTCGGATTATTTTGTCCCCCCTCCCTCTCCCCGGATGCGTTAGAACATAAGAATGGCCGTACATTAGTGGGATTTCCTTTTTTTCCAGGTTGAATCTTCAGTTTAAAAGACAACTTGTGTTGGTACAACAACAAATGGGGAGAAACTAGCCAGGAATAACTTCTGGCTGGAGATCCGAAGAAGGTTTCTAACTGTCAGAGGAGGGAGGTTCTGGAATTGCCCCTCCATGACTCCTAGCGGGAGGCTAACACCGTAACTAGCTTAAAGCTGGAGCTTGATACATTTATGAACAGTATTGTATGACTGGGCTGCCTGCCGTATCAAGGGACTGGCCTCTGTGACTCAGGAGGTTCCTTCCAGTCTTGTGTTCCAAAGAGAAGTGACTAGATCTAACCTTACTAAAAAAAAGCCTCGTCAGAATATTCTCCTACCCCCTGGAACAGAGCAGGGAGACCTCAAGCTGGACTCCCAAAGACCAAGGCCCGTCAAAATCAGTAGCTGCTTTGTGGAAGATGTTGACTTCAGTTCTTAGGAGCAGGGAGTGAAAACTCTGGGCTGGATTCTCCCCCCCCCCCGTTTTCTGCTGCTGTATCTCTAGAGACTTCAGTGCAGTCCCTCCTGACTCACCTCGTGTAGATGACTAGGAGAGGAAGGGTGGCTAGCGCACTAGCCTGGGTCTCCAGAGACCGGGGTTCAGTTCCTTGCTCTG